CAGTTACATCAGGTGAGCTTCATAGGAGGAAATTTGTGAAGATCTTTCCAAACATAGTTTGTCGGTAATCATTCCCTCGAATATACTTCTTTATTATTTACGATTCCAGACTCCTGATACGTGGTGCGATCTATGGCTGGGTCCGCGAGAACCAGCGGAGTATTTATCGACACTCATTTATAAGGTGGATGATTATCAGGCACCTGAAATCTACGGTTTACCTATAGGTTCAAGCTTCCTAACCACATCCAATTCATTCTGCGGCATAGATACCTTCATTCTAAATTTATTACACTACGTTAGGGATGTTTAAGCCAAAACTAGATTTACCTTAAAACTTCTAACTAACTTTAAGACCAACAAGTACATGCATGAGATGGTTTTCAAGATATTCTTAGTAAACTGCTTAAATATGTAAACAACAACTTCATTTTGGTAAGCACTGTGCCGGATATGGGTAGAAGTGACAAATGAGTTATCTTTGACCTTATTGGAAGTACCCGGAATAAATCCACCAGTTTGCAGCACAGTTACTTTTTAAAGTAATTCTAAATAGAGTGTAAACAATTCCAGGCTAAGTCCGTACAAGAACTTGTTTCCCGTTCTGAACAACCTGATTTTTTGAAAACGCCTCTAAACTTTTCACAATTATTTCGGCCTGGTCGTCTTCTCAATGCTCTCCGACAAGTTACAGCCAGGTAGGAAATTAAATATGTGGACCATGGATTTGTAATAAATAACAAAGTTTATAGAACGAAAGGTTGTACTATGGACGATCTTCGACTAAGTTCTGCATGGGAATCCTCATATTTTGGTGATGATATCGCAGTGCAAGTTAAGGTACAGTACCTTTCAGATAATAGAACTAGTTACCGAGAGAGGATGAGATGTTGACAGGGAGTTAAAATATGAAATGACTGGAAGAATCGAGAAATATCTTTGACTTCCCGTCAGAAAAAAGTAAAAATGAATTCTTACATTCTTACACGCGCCAAAAAAAAAACACTCAGCGATGCGTGAAACAGAAAAAATGGCCTACTAAACTTATCTTCATTCAAGGGTATTTTACTACAAGGAGCTTTGTTTGATGGACAATTAAGAAGTACGCTAGCCAGTAGCCCACCAGTTACCAACGCTCCACAACTTACACTCGGTTGGACGCAAGTTGTAAGTTACTACACCAAATTTGTATTTAGGCTTCATCACAATCTGTGCAATTCAATGTCACCTATTCTATTGTACTGAAAATCACTCATTAATAACCAATGCAAATTTCTCAAACACTTTAGAATCCAAAAGCAAAAAAAAAATGTAGCAGAAAATTTGCAAGAGAAAACATATATTTTACCATTTAAACATACAATTGATAGATATGATCATAAGAGGCTTAGAGACAACAACTCAATTTTGCTGGAACTTTTGGAGATGAAACTGACTTGCGAGAATTAGAACCTCAATTACGCAATAAGATAATCAAGTGCTCATAACCACTAAAAAACTGGCCTTCTCCTCACTTCATCATCCTTTAAACAACTTCACTTCAGGGTTCTCCCAATGTTTATAACAAACAAGAATGTATCTCTGTACCACTTTACACTGACGCATCACGAAGTGAACTTATTGCGACGGTGCAGATGAAATGCAGTGATGTTCATAGATGGAATATTGCATCTGTAGCATTGTTCTTACGATAAATCTGGCACACCGAAGATGCAGACTAGCTATGCAGTTGCTTTTACTCATTATCACTCTTTTCACGTGGAAAGTGTAAAAAACGAGTAAAAATCTATGAAATTCTTGTTACTTTATGGCTTTGGATAAATTGCTTTACAAATGTATAATGGATACAGATAAACTGCTTTACAAATGTATAAGTTAAAAGTACATATGTACAAAGATCGCCTAGTGATAAAACTGGAGAGAAAGTCACGTTTTGCTCAAGTACGATCAATCACTAGCCTGGATGGTAACAACAATCGACACAGGAATATCCACTTTGTAAAGTAGATTTGAAAAAAA